ACAAACCTGTTCCCTCTCTGAAGCGGTGCACCTCACTGTCAGGGATCCAGTGGTAGATGGGAAAGTTGTAGGTGTCACCCTCAGGGGATCTCACTTCCACCTTGGCAGGGAACCAAGAGTCTTCAGGGAAGATGAAGTGAGGCTGTTTATCTATCTCAATCAGGATCAGCTTTCCAATGGAGACGGGGCAGGACACAGTAAAACTGGCCACCTGGAGTAATGACAGAAATGGGTTGCGTATTTGACCAAGAAGTGAACTGTAACATTCCGATAGTTAGCATACAATACTGAATGTAGAAGGATGGAGAATATAAGATGTATACAATGCATGAATATAATATTTATTTGGAGCTCATTATGGAGACTTTTTTTGTTGCTTTGGTCACCTTTGAGGCTGTAAGTTAAAGAGTTACAGAGCAGCACATATCCTGTTGTTGCACAGTCTGAGTTGACGAGGGTTTACATCAGCTTCTCTAAATTGATATTCAATTCAATAATCTGAAGTTGAAGAAGAGTGTTATACATTTAGAGAAAGATATTTCAGACTTACTACTGCTGCAGTGCTGAAGGATATAACCCCTTTGAGGCTCTCGAGCCAGGTGCGTTTGCTCTCTCCATCTGTGCCCACCAGCTTAATATAGACATTGTTAAAAGTGCCGGCAAAGGCGAGATCGCCAGTGGCCACGGTCACTATATAATCCACCATTTTCACACTGGCAAGCAGAGGAATCCTGGTGGGGAGAGAAAAATAATAACCATTCTAAGTACTGATCAGGTTCACTGTTACCAGATGAACCTTAGTACAAAGAAACGTTAACATACTGGTATCACAACTAAAATGGCATGAGCAAAAGATATAAGAACTAACATTAAATGTTTTTTTCCCTCACCAATCTATTACAGTCTAATCTTTAAAATGTAATAAATTGAATTAAAAATAATTTAATGAAGCGTCTCTCTTACCAGTTTATGAGACCAAGAAGTTCCTCTGATGAACTGCTCTCTTGATGTCTTAAAGTAATCAACACTGAATTCTCATTTTATACACACAGTTTTGTGGGAGTGTCAAGTCTTGTGGGAGTGTCGAGTCAGTATCAACAGTAAATAGTTACTTCTGGTGATAGAATTTAATTTATTGGTTTATTTGATATGGGACAGTGCACATTAATAAAAACATTTCTGCAAAATGTTCCAGAGTTAGCCAAAATGCTATTTTTCATCTGTAGTCCCAAGAGGCAGATGTTACAAAAATAAACCTAAAAACAGAAGATAAAATTAAAGTTAAAAGTTATACAATTTTGACACTTTACAATGGGTGCACAAACAATGAAAAAAGTGAGAATAAAACTGTTATACATTGTCAAGTACAAACAAGACATGCAACACAGAGGCTCTCAAAGTCAACACACACAACGCAAATAAAATGAGGGATGACAATGTTAAAATCGAAACATGGACTCAAGACAATATTATGCTCTAGTTGTTTAGACACTAAAAAACATCCATGTCAGAGGCACAAAACATAAAAGCATGCAGAGTATGTGAAATACATAAACCAGTCAGACACAGCTAACAACAATAAAAGACATGCATGCAGGTAGATGAGGGTCGACCGGCAATTTCAAGAAAGACAGACAGGTGACAACAGACAGTTCAACACAGTTACAGTTACAATCTAGTGCTGACAGAGCTGGGTACTAACCAACCATTTCTTTATTTGAGATTTAAATGAACTGTATGTTTGTAGCTCTCTAATGGTCACTGGGATGGAGTTCCATTGTAGTGCACTTTGTACTGAAAATGCAGAATGACTGAAAGCACTTTTCCTGAGTGAGATAATGCAATCCCCTCTTGCTGCTCCTCTTGTGAGCCAATATCCAGTTATTCTTGTGATCACAAATTGTTTGAGTGGAGGAGAGGTCAAGCCATGTATAATCTTGTACATGAGACATTCAAATATTTAATCATGTTATCCTAACGAAACAAGTTATATTTTTTTAGTATAGGGCAATGATGAGAAAGAACAGATTTTTTATCTAGGATTTTGAGTGTTCGTTTTTACAATGACTGTAGTGGTTTCAGAGTAGTGGTGCTAGCCTGTGACCAGGTTGTTAAACAGTAAGTGATATGGGAAACAACCATAGAAAGCATGTATGTCTTAGCTGTCTCTGCATTGACATGTAGTTTCGTGTGAACCTGAAATTTGATAGATTCAATTTGACCTGGTTACAGACCTTTTTCACCTGAGATTTGAATGATAATTTGGAATCAAAAAGTACTCCGAGATACTTGTAGTCAGGTACAACCCGTAGCCTCTCTCCAAATACAAAAACATCCGGCTCTACACTACCAGAGTTTGATTTGGTAAAAAACATACACACTGTTTTGGATACATTTAGTTATAAACAGCATTGCTTTAACCATGCAGTTACATGAACCATGGAGTTAGTGAGTTCATTTGCCACTTCATTTTAGTACCATGCAAGTAAATCACAGTGTCATCTGCATACATTTGGATGTTGGTGTCAGGGCATGCTGATGGCAGATCATTGATATATAAACAGCAGTGGGCCCAGGACAGATCCTTGTGGGACGCCTGTGGACAAGTGGAGGGCGGTAGATTGTTAGTTCTGTATTTGGACATACTGTGATCTATTTAGCAAATACGATTCAATCCATTTCAGTGTACCTGAGGAGAAATTGTAGCTGTGCAATTTGGACAAAATAATGCTATGGTTAACAGTGTCAAATGCCTTCTTGAGATCAAGAAATACAACTCCAACAACTCCCCCTTTGTCCAATAGAAATTTGATTTTTTTTTCTGTGACGAAACAAGTGGCTGTCTCAGTAGAATAATTGGCTCTGAAGCCGAATTGCATTGGGTGAAATGCAAAATAACTGGTATTCAAATGGCAGATCATTTGCTCAGCTACCAACTTATCTGCAACTTTTGATATTGTTGGCAGGATACCGATGGGTCTGTAATTACAAGTAGAAAGGGGATCTCCATCTTTGAATACTGGAACAACAGCAGCCAACTTCCAAACACTGGGAAACATGCTCTGAGAGTTTGAGAGGTTGATGATTTTGCTGATGGGATCAGTTAGTGTTGTGTTAAGTTATTTGAGCATAACTGCATCCATATCAAATACCTCCTTTGCTTTGGAAGGTTTAAGAGACCTGATTATTCTCGTGACCTCTGATTGAGTAACATTTCTTATGCTGAAGGTCGGCTCCAATGAATTTACTGTACAGACGTGTGTATTCTCAGGGGAGAAACATTTAGCAATAGTAGCTACAGAATCAATGAAATGGTGATTGAAAGCTTTTGCTACTTCAGCTGGGTTATTTGACAGCTTTCCATTTATGTTAAGTTGCTGCAGCTTCCTTACTTTGTTGAAATGTCCCATTAGCTTGTGTAACTGATCCCAGGTCATTTTAGTATTACCTCTTGCCTTTTCCATTATAGTCAGGAAAAAGCAGCCTTAGCTTTTCTTAATTTCTTTACCACTTTGTTCCTCAGCATAGCAAAATGTTGTCTGTCATGGCTCGATTTATTTTTAATTGCAGTTTTTAAGACACAATCCTGTTCTTTCATTAATTTTAAGATATCATTTATCCAAGGAACAGTGTGTTTGATATTTTTGTGCCTAAATTTGCGATTAAAATCCTTGATAGTGTTCTCTAATTTTTTTGAGAATTGTTGACTGTCTTCGTCAATGTCTATTCCAAACAGTAGTTCATCCCAGTCAATTAGTTGAACAGTGTTTTTAAAATTTTCTTGATTGTTTTTGGGGATTCTAAAAGATTCATCATCCCTGACAGAAGGCCTAAAACACTTGCTGGTTAGTTTCCTGGCTACCAGAGTCAGATTGTGGTCAGAAAGACCAGTTACCATATTGAGAGATTTTAGAACACTCTCAGGCCTATTACTAAATATTAAATCAATTTGGGTCTTGGAGGAATTTGTTATTCTTGTGGGCCCACTGATCAACTGCACAAGGTCAAAGTCATCAGTTTAAGATTCTTTCTAGATGATTTGTCCTCCCAATTGATGTTAAAATCACCCATAATAATTACCTCTTTACTGAAATTGCATTCTTTTAATAGTTTCTCAAACTCCTCATAGAAACTATTATTGGAAGAGGGAGGCCGATAAATTACAATAAGTGTGAAAGACACGGTGATAAGATTATATCTAGACCTATGCATTCCAAATCTTTACAGACAGTCCACTGGATTTCATTACACCGGATACTATCTCTCACATAGATCATGACATTACCACCCTTTGATCCAACCCCATCTCTCCTGTAAATGCTATAACCTGGCACAGTTATTGCTGCTGATGGAGCATTTTTTTGGAGCCAGGTCTCAGATAAACAAAGAAAGTCTAAATTGGAATCAAGCAAAAGATGATGGACTTGATCACTTTTAGATTTAATACTTTTTATGTTCAGATGCCCACCTAAGAGACCTTTTGGCTTAACTTTAGGATCCCACACTGTTCTTGAATGATTGACATTCCGTTAGACGGCCCACTTCCTGTTCTTTGAGATCGCGGGATTTAGCAGTTTCTTGTTTACATTTTGGGTAATCTTTCCAATTACACGTGGACTACCTGAACAGATGCCATCAATGGTCGGAACACTCTGTGGCTCAGTCAGTGCAGTGTCCGCCTCATTTTTCGATGATGTCGAACCGCACGGAGCCTCCGACAAACCCGCGGTGCTGCCGGCCGTCACGTTAGCTTCCAAGCTCGGCTCCAGCGCCGGTAGTCCCCCCGGGGCATACTGCGGACCGGCCAGCGGGCATCCGTAAAATCCTGTCTGGAAAACTAGCGATGGCCCATGGAATGTTGGACATGTATGAACATGAAGATGATGCAATAATGATGTCTTAAGGCAGTATTGCTCATCAATCAAGACAAACCACCTTTTAAATGTGAGAACGTCAAAACATTATAAAACAACAAACTAAGCATTTACCGACACTGTTTATCCAGATTATTCATCAGATAGTTTTATTAAAAACAACTGTAACATGATAGAAACCAATTTCTATGGCAGAACAAATACATACATTACAAAATCTAGTAGGGACAATTCAGTGACAGGTAAACAAGGTAATGGCAAAGTTATTAAATCATCAAATGCACAAATCACTGACTTATTTCTATCGTTTCGAACACAAACAGACTCAGTGGCCACTTGATTTTGTACACCTGTACAATCTAATGCAATTTAATACAACAGCTCTGCCATATATTCTACCTCTGCAAAGCTTATAACTGTTCAGTTTTGTTGTGAATTGTCAGAAATTAGTTAATTCATTTATATGTTTATTACTGAGGTCATACTATGGTGGACTATAGTGAGGTGTTAATAACTTTTTCCTCCCTATTGTCACCTCTGAATATAATGTAGTCAGGTTCAACACCATTATTAACTATGGCTTAATCATTACTTAAACATAACATCTTTCTTTCAGTGTCAAAAAATGAACATTATAGACAGTAAAGTAGGCTTTATGGCAGAACAAATTGGATTGGTTCACACAAGTGTACCTCATAGAGTGACCACTGAGTATACAACACAGTTCCTTAGATCAACTGGCTCAAAACAGACAGGTTGACACACATCAAGATATTCACAGGCAGCTCCATTTATCAGTGCAAAGCAACTACGACACATAGCAGTAGATTCAGAAAAAAATAACTGATTCAATCATTCTTGTTTGGAGACAAAAAAATTAAAAAGGGTCCTCAAAGAATATTTGGTGATGAAATCAAATTGTGTTGAGAAGTGGATTACAATGGTGTTTTTCATTTTACACCCGTTTAATTTGATTTGAATGTGTATCAAAAGAGTCTAAATTTGTTTCAATATCGGCTCAAAATGCAATATACACTCGCCCCTGTTGTTCGTGTGAAGCTGAGATACGGGGTCAAATCTGAGGGGAGGGGACAGTCAGGACTCCAGTGGGCTTCAGCTTGTTGATCCCTCCATCCAGGATACAAACCCGCTGGAAATTTACCTTAACCAGGTGTGCTGCAAACTAGGAGGACAAAAAAAAAAGGGAAAGGCAGTTCTCAGGAATTGCAAGTTCTCATGACCTCAAACAACTCAAACATCAGTGTTGTTTCCTTGAGTTAACTCTTGCAGTTACCACACATGATAAATAATCATCAATGTATCAAAGCTGTCCTTACCAAATTTGAAATTGATCTGGCCAACTGGCTAGGGGTAATACATGTAAGTGTAAAATGTGATACAATAACAGCCCTTCAATAATTAGGAAACACTTTGATGTCTGTGGAACATTGTGTGTGTGTGTGTGTGTGTGTGTGTGTGTGTGTCGGAGCAGACAAGACAGAAACTGAGTTTGAGGAAGTAAAGTGAAATTTTAAGAGACAACAAAACAAATGAGAAAAGGAACTTGTCTCGACTGAACCTTCCTCTAAGACGTTTCTCTTTGACATTCTTTCTGCAGTCACTGTTGATAAAATAACCCTCTGTATTTACTGTAGATACACCTTCCAATTCAATTCACTGAAATGCAATAACACAACAAAAGACAGCCTCAAAGGTTACCATAAAGTCTCAACGTCAATTACACATCAGACTGAATCATAACCTGTAAGCTACAAAAATGTACAAATCAAAATACCAATTATAGCAGGGATACTGAGTTAGAATAAACAGATGTTACTTTTGTTGTGACCTCTCATTAGACCTGTGTTGTGTAAGCCCTTGTGACATTTTGGTAAATCTGATTGTGAAACCTCTGGATGACAATGTAAGATTTTATCATACACAACAGGTATTACAAAACAGAAACTGACACATTGATAAATAAACTTTAGTTGTGTCATACATCAGGAATTTAACCAAACCTGAATGCGTAGCCTGGTAGTTTATCTTTATTCACAATTTACATAGATGTCAGGACATTCAACATTAATGCTTACATGGTGTTATTTATGGGACACAGTTCATTGGACTGAAGATGGTCTTGATTGCTTTACATGTGAAAACCGGAAGTATTATTTCAACAAAATCAGTCAAGCTTCACAGATGAGTTCTGTGCAAAACTGTGAGTTCCTTTATGTTAACAAATAAAACATCCAAACTGTGTGAGATTGCCCTAAATAGTCCCTGACTTCAGTTATTTTGGCTTTTTGCATTAGAGCTCTGCTCATGGTTGAAGGTGGCTGGAGTTATGCTGTGAAATAAGCAAGGTCACAGGACTTCACAAACTACTTATTGTGATTGAGGTGTATTTTGTGGAGCTCCATGAGGTGCAACGAAGCAAACAGGGGAGTCGGGGAAACGTGAGTCAAATACAGTCAATACAAGAGGTCTAAACAAAAGTGAAAGAACCTTAAAAATGTATATATAAAATATATGTAAATGCCTTTAATTAATGAGTGAAAAGTATTGCTTTTCAAGAGCTGGAAAAACACAATTCTTTAGTTCTACCTTAAGCACACCTCTCAACTGGCTATTTTGCTTCCCTGTTGCCATGGCTTCGATCTATAAATGTGTTTGGCAATCTGTCTGCAACTATATGTTTTTTTGTCCTGAGCCTAGGCTCACAGGCTCATAAAAGTCATGCTGTCTAATTATCTAATAGAAAATTAAAAAAAATAATGGACATAGAAATTTAATTTTTTTAAAATACGGAGTAAAACCCAGCAACAATTTATGTACAAAAATAATCCCTCTGAATAAAAACTGTGATGTTTAATTGACCAGGTTCATTTATTTCATTTTATTCATGTGTCTATCACAAAGCAACAACACCAACAAAACAAAGCTTATTTTGTCAGCCTGGGTTGTTGCTCACACATTCAATTGTTTTAGGAGTACAGTTAAAAAAAAAATCCGATTCAATCAACCGACTAAAATAAAAACAGAGCATGAAGAATCAGGCGTACTTCTGAACGCCAATAGGTTTTAAATGTTAAAGGTGCACAGTAAAGCCTGAGCACAGAGAGTGCATTCATTGCTTTGCCCCTGAGTTAATGATAATGCCACTGGTCTGGTGCACAGAGATGTGGATGGCATTTAAGCACAATTGAGTCCTTTTATTGACCTTTACTTTTGTGACCTGCACGACTGAAAGGTCTGATGAATTACTGAGGTTGAACCTCAGATGTGGAATTTCAAGTGTGGGTTTGGCCATAGTGGGGAGGGGAGGTTGAATAGTCATCATACTTGCCTGCATGTGTGATGATAAAGATGGTGATCAATCGTCATACTTAATACAAAATGATGATGATGATGATGAAACATAATTAGACTAATGCTGTATAACACAGATTTTCTATTTATCGAAATAGTAGAGCTATGACCACGTGCTGATACATGAGCAGTTCACAAACAGATGTATTTACACTTCAGTCTATCTGCAGAAGAATTCTTCCATTACTCTCTGTAACGGTTATTTTTAACCAGGTTAGAAACTGATATCTTTCCGCTGCTCCCTAAAAAAATCTAGGACTCATGTCTCTTTAATTAGGGAGAACTACTTATTTCCCTCTCTTACTTTCCAACATATGGAAGGAGGACATCTTTTCTAAATTGGGATGTTGCCAGAAGCAATATCCCTGCTGAGTATTTTTTTATTTAAGTTTGGCTAATTTATTCTAATGAGAGCACAAAAGGAGAATATATAATGATCAATACAGTTTTCTGTTCTGTTACTCTGAAGTTGTTTTCTGCTCTGAAATGTCAAAGATAATGATTTATGTAAAAGCCGGTTACAGCCTTGGCTAAGGTCCAAGTGTCTTTTAGAAGTTTTTATTACACTGTACATCAGACCTATACATTTACAATACTACTGTATTCATTCATATTTTTCTGCTGCTTTCAGAGGAATACAGCTAAAATATGACAAATTGCTTATTGAGTAAAACAAAATGAAAGGAAATTATTTCCAACACTCTTCAATGAAGGTCAGTTTTCTACAAGCAGGCAACCAAACTTACTCACTCACATTGTTTCATGGTTGTGTTGTTTCCTGTATGTGGCCCATCTGTCTCATTTTCACCCTACGGCCTCAATGAGGATAGTCATAGAGCTTCATATTAAAACAGATATCAGGGAATGTTTCCAGCTAATTTATTAGTATAAATATATTGACTATAAATATATGGTTCACGGCTGTTTTCATTAACTATTATTTCACAAGTATTTACGAGTGTTATGACTTATGAATTATTGTTAAATAATTTCCAAAAAGTAAGACGAATATATATTTATTTAAAAAAAAAACATACATTGGTGAAAACTGCTGTGTATTGACTGGAATAGTTGTGTTATTGCTGGATTTTGGATTGGATTGTGAAACACAAATTTTTGTGATTCGGTGAGTAATTTCACTTGAAAATGTTAAGTTTGGAAATCTGGATAATTCATCGCAGGATGAAACATTATTTTTTTAAAAAGCAGCATAAACTCACTAGACAACTGCTCTTGTGGAGTTTCACCTAAGACTCCAGTGAGGTCCAGATGATTAGAAGGTTTTTTTAAGGAGGCAATATGACCCTGAGGTCTGCTTCCACTGTCCTGACATGACCCCTACCCAGGACACTAAAGGGATATCACACTCACTGAGACACCTCTGAAAAGATGAATATAGAGGCAACTTTGTTTCGTTCTGCAGTTTAAAAAACATCCCTCTGCTGTTATTTGTCAAAATTGCTTGGTGTGTCGTTGCACTGCAGCAAATCACTCAGGTTGTTGTTTTTGGGAACACAGCAGCAGCCAGAGTACAATCTTTACCAAACCCGTCTTTCTTGCTAGAGGCTCTGTGGGGCTGTACTTAGGCACAGTTGTGCTTTGAGATAAAGCCTAACATCAGCTTGATTACATGCTCACAATGATAACATGCTGGTGTTTAGCAGGTATGTTTAAAATGTTCACCTCTGAGTTGAGTATGTTAATGCGAACCTCTGTGTTCACGCTTATTAGATGAAAATCTAATTACAGCCAAGGCTGAACGAAGGGAATGTCACTGGTCTTCAAGGTATTTGGTCAAAAATCAAGGTATGAGACAAAGTAAATTGTTAACTTGTCATCTCGCACCGTCATCATGTCAAGGAATCCAAAAAGTAATTCAATTAATGACATGAATTGCCATCCCAAAGCACTCTCACTTGCATGGCTAAAACAGTAAACTGGGAGAGTCTGGCAATTTAGAAACACCACAGGGCACTTTAACAAGATTACCATCTGTTATCTGCACCACACCTGCATTCACTGCTGACCACTCAATACTTCTAATGCACGTTCAAACATTAATGGTACCAACATGTCCGCCTTAGATATTACAAAAAGCAACATTACAGAGAGATCGACTTTCACAACATTATACAGTGTTTGTATATAACATCTCTATGGTAGGTTATGTAATGCACATCTTGGGTTTATATGTCCGAGTTAACACTTTAGAGTTAAGAGTTTAGATAGTGTGTATACGTGTATGTGTGTGTGTGTGTGTGTCTGACTGCTTTCTCACCATAGCAGCAGTTTTCATGGCGTGGCTAATGATCACGATGACACGTCCTCTGTAGTTCTGGAGGATTCCTGTTGCAGGACACTGCACCAGCTCACCATCAGGGCTGAACGCTGTGCTGAAGGGAATGTTGATGCTGCCAGAAATATGGCCTCTGCTAAAGCTAAAAGCAGTGGGGTCAAGGAGCAAAGCATTGAACAGGTAACGCCCCTTCATAGAGAGACAAGTAACAGTAATACCATTGGGCAACACTGATAAAAAAAGACAGTATTAAACAATATCAAGTCAGCTCAATGATACCCTAGAGAGAGCTTGTTATACTGCTTATCACGATGGCGTCCAATACAAAAGCATGTACGGCAAGCTTCAAGATAGCAGTGTGGAAAAAAATTAGGAAGGAGCAGGGACAATAGAGATATATGAGATGTAATGAGGGAGTCAGCAGGAGAAAAGAAAAGAACAAGACTGCTTCTTAGTGAGGGATTTACTGGAAAACGACACGAGTATCAGCACAGGGACAGTGAACAACCCCACAGTGGGATGTAATGGAATAATTACTCTTGAGAAAAGGAGCTTGTCCTATCTCTGAGAGCGTAACTATTGACATTATTGCTACATATCCCAAGACAAATGGTGCTTCTTTCTCGGTCAAAAGATAATGTTCATCAAATCATAACATCTGCCACAAGAACACATAGTCAGTTTGTTACATAACGCAGCAGATAATCCATGAACAGACAAATCCTATTGTGGTACATTTAGTCTTGGAAAGAGGCTAGTTGTTTTACAGCAGATAATAACCACCAGGAACCTAAACAGACAAATCTAGATTGTCCTGATTAACTCCACAGAATTTAATCCACTTTTTGTAAATGCAGAAACCCACAACAGAGCTTTGCCTAAGATCACAATAAAGGTGAACAAGGGTTGCCAAATCCTGCGAAAGTGGTTAATTCCCTTTGTCCATGTGTGTTAGCCTGAGGTCTGTCTATAACGACGTTTATGTAGGAATTTCGGCTAGAGGAACTGACATCTTGCAATCTTGCTCTATCCACGAATCCCTATTGATTAATGGCTCTTTTACCCCCTTAGACGATTACCATTCCACTGATCTGAAGGGTGACGCTCACTTCTTTGGGTCCCCTGAATTTGTACAGGCGGGGTTCTCTGGGCCAATACAGTCCTAGTTATAAATAAAAATCTGCAAAAGCAAAATTCAATAATTTCTGAAATATTGTAATTTTGTGCAGAGTTACGAAAAAGATTAATAAAGATGCTATTGAATGTGGCAAGCTATTGACATTTTCATTTTTAATCTAAGGGATTTACAGGGAATCTGATTGAATGGGACAACTACATTTATGTACTGTATGTGTATGCACATCAATCAATGCATATTGTTGCATGTGAAAACCATGTATCTCCAAAGAAAGACGCGGGAGAATCCTCTCAAATCAACCCCCTTCCCCTAAGACTGCAGGATGTGGTGGGGCAGCCTGGGTGGATGTAATGGGCCTAACTCAATGTTGCAGAATCTGGCAGCACCTGACTAAAGTAGATCATCCACCCTGAATCTGTTGCTACTTGCCTTAGATGGTAATGTCACTGGTGTACTTTCTGTGCCTGTGGTTCACTTTAAAAACTCTGCAAAACACTGACACCAGGTACTGCCTTGTAGTGTGCAGTGTAATCTTAATCCACTAACTATGTCGGTTTCATACTTGATAACATTAATAGTTGTAATTCATTGTTTTATCTTCTGAGCCCCATCGACTATCGGTCTCAAGACGGATAAGCCTTCGGGGGCAAGGGGCTATATTTCTGGGGTCCGGTGTAGCGAGCGGATATCCGGACCAAGACTTTGTTCAACGCTCATCGTTTCCTTGGTTGCTACTAGAACTACAAACTGAAACCAGAACGCCTCTGATGCCAAAATCTTGTCCTGTTGCCTACTAGACTGCACAAGACAAAAGACTTTTGCTGTATGGTTCTTTTAAAAGTGTTTGTAAAGAAGTGATGGTATTGTTCAATAATGATTCTACTAGCTCAAACTGCTTAGAATTACAACACTTTCCATGCTATTTCCTGTCCTGCCTACAAGAAAAAAAATTGCCAATATACTTCTGCAGAAGTGCTGTCACAATTGGGGGGGGGGGGGCTGTGTTTGGCAACTTTCGGACGTCAAGCTCTCTTTTTTCATTCCTTACACAACAATTTCTGTCACTTTTCATGCGTACAAACTAGTGCAACACTATGAATGTCTTCCAGGAGAGACTGTCTGAAAGTACAGGCGGTTATTGCATCTCCCTCCGCTCACCCGACAGCCAGCTTTTCACTCGACCTTCATGTGTAGCCTTTCGGAACAACTATAAACACTTTTGATTCCTGATGTGGTCGGACAGCATGTTGTAGGACCCATCTTTTCTAGTATAACATGGCACTCAAAACTACACTCAGCTGGGTTGCATCTCAGCTGAGTGAGAATTGAATAATTATAACCCTCCCTTAAGTAACAGAAAACTTCAAGTTGGAGGTTTGCTGACGTAAATTCTACTCAGAACAACCTTATCTGAAATTGGCAATAATTTGTCAGCAGATCATTTCTTGTTCTTGCTTTGTTGGACACAATCCAAGGTTGTTCAAACAAGCTCCAGTCTACGTGCACCATTTCCTGATGTGCCTCAGCAGAGAAAGATTGTACAATGTATTTGAATGTTAAAATGACAGCATTTAACGGACTGGCCGGTAAAAGTTCAGAAATGGTAAGGATACTCCTCGACAGTACGGATGTCAACAGCAATGATTTTGGGCTTGCCGGCTTTGGTCCTTTTGGTGGGCCCGGCCAATGACAGCTCACACAGGTCGATTAGGTCCTCGGCCGAGATCCTCGGAGATAATTCTGCTTTCAGGTCACACAGCGCCAGAGGCTCCCGGGACTACAAAAAAAGAAAAAGGAACAGGAGATCATATGAAGAAGGAGAAAAGTGTAGAGCAGTAATAAGTAATTATTGTAAAATTACTCGAGAGACAGAAAGAATAGTTTAAATTTGGATATTGTTGCTTCTTAAAAATCGAAAAACCAGCGATTAGGCCTGAATGCCTTTCATGTTAAGTAAATTCTTTCTGTATTTTTGAAATATTTAACACCGTCCTTTTAAACAGTTTGTCAAACTAACCCACAAGTCAGAGAGCACCACAGACAATCAGCTGCAGTGACCAGAACACGGTTGCCAGTTTCCATGTGCACTGACAAATAGGTTTATTAAAGCACTGAGCCAAAGGCATGGCTGCAATGGTGAGCAAGTGTAATACCTCTATGATTCCCAGATGCCCTGAAGTCATTTTAAGCATTAAATGTGAAAAAAGGAGTATACTGATAATTTATTTTCAACAAACAAATGCATTGTGATAATAACTGGTCATTAAGCAGTTTGGTCAGCACACTGTATGAAAGCAATTTACAGAACAGAGAAGGGCCAACTGCATGTTGAGTAGGTTTAGTGCCAAAACTCTGCCATCCATGAAATAAAATGTTTGAATGCATTAACTCCATTGGCTAGCTGAACAATCCATCCAACCAACAGTGTAGCAGTCAGAAACATCTGTGAGTCCAGAAAGGATTTTAATATGAATTTCCTCTGGAAAAAGGTTTTAATGAAACAATTCTGTGCATTTGAGCGAGTACCTTTAAATCCTGAATCCCCAAAACAGAGTCAGAATTGCAAAATGGAAGAGATTTGAGGAGTGGTGTTTGTATTTCTAATAATCAGAAACACATTACAAAGTCGAGGTTTCCACCAGGAAATTGGAACAAAGGTGAAGTCACCAAGGTCCTGATTCCTCTTGCCTCATGCCCCCAATTTAGTTAGTGGTTGGGGACAAAACAATGGCTACACTCATTAACTACATTGTATTTGCTGTTGCAAATAGTGCCATTTCAATAATAGCCCACTACCACTACAAAACACAGCATTAAACCATGCATGTGACACATACAGACACAAAATGACCAAGAAGTTGAATCAACACCCCTGTGTCACAATGACAACATGTCTCAAATAGCCCTTTAGAATGGAATCGTAATAAGACATGGTGATAGTGTTACAGGCAGGGAAGTATGTCTAATTTGTTAAAGGCCAATAGCAGGCCACTTGTACAGGACCAGGGAACTGTGACAGGCAAAATAAAAGTGTTAGTTCAACTTGGGAGTAAACCAGGGTGTGACTGAACACACCTGCTCAGAAAAACCTGCCTGTGGAGACAAGCCTACAAATTGAAACCAACCATAAAGTAATTCATTACTTGGATTTAACAGAAGTCTTGACATTTTATGCATCTACCAATCAATGTGCTCTGTTTTTGTTATCATTATGTTGTATTCTTTATCATTGGACCATTCACAAATAGATGATTGATGCCAGAATAAGCCATTAGCTAATTTCCATCTGCAGTCCCTTGGCAAGAGTCACCAGAGACTAAAAACATCAATATAAATGCAGCAACACCATTACACTAACATTTATAAAGGGAGACTTTTACAAGCACACATCAACATATTAATACCATCACATTAATCCAGCACAACTATACAATTGCAAATTAACTACTTAATACAGCACATACATTTAAAATTACATTAAGTATCAGAAAAAGGAAGGATGTCTGGTTGCATGATTAATGTAAATAAACTCTTTGAGATGTCAGATGCCCTATGTCTTAAAAAAAAGTGAAATTTGAGCAAAATGTGAGCAGGAAGTTATTGAAAAACCATGACTGCACTGCATTGTATGGTCAGCTCTATTGGCAAAGAAGGCTGAAGGAAAACAATGTAGGTAGTCATTGATCTTAGAAATCAATTCACATGCTCGAGTGATAAAATAATGTGGTTAATAGTAAGTAAGTAGAATACATTTTAGTGAATTCACATGCTGTCACAGTAAACACATGTACTAAAACATTAAGAATACCAGCTTTAAATCCCTGCTTTTAGCATTGTTTTACATTTTTGCTGCACAAACCCAGAGATGAGAAGATCACGGTTCAATTGCACGGGAACCAGGTACCATGCGAGTTCCTTTCAAAAACAGGGAAGCTTTCCAGATAGCACTTAAACCTATACTGGGAAGTGGAGTTTATTCATTTCAAATGTAACTTGTACTTGGTTGTTAAAACTTCCACAAGATGAATTAAAATCAAAATCCAAAGAGAACACAGTTGCACCAATCTCTCCATCCAATGGGAAACGATGCAAGTGTTCCGCTGGGTCTTAACCTACGGAGCTGGCAGGACTTTCTGCCGTGATAAGCAATGATTACAGCAAGTCCTGTTGACTATCACGTACCATCTAATCCCCGGAGCAGTGGTGCATGGGGCTTTCTTGCAGGTACAAACAGAACACTGCAGAAAATGCAAATCGTTTCTATACACATCACTAGAAAATAACTGGTTGATGGGTGTTCAGCCAACATTGTGAACATTCTGGCTGATTCAACATTTAGGAGCAACAGTTCTACTCGGACGTCCTGAGTCCAAACCCTGTGAAAGTGATCTGCTGACACAGCAGTCAGTGCTGTTTTGGGTTTGGCATAACTGACAGTGGTAAGCTGTTGACTGCTCTACCCAACTGGGTTGTGTTGTTTCTGAAAGTGCATAAGGACTTCGGACATCTCCATTGAGTAAATCGGGCTCAGTTGCTTGGCTGAGCTCATCCATATGCACATCTTCAGTGTGCAGCAATTGATGAGTTGCAACACCTATAGTAAAAAAAAAAGAAATATGTCTCTCCCTCACTACACATGAATGTATCCATATCATGTGACAGAAACAGGCAAAAATATGCAGCCTGTCATTGCCTGTGGCTGACGGAGCACTCTGTGGTGACTGAAATGTCAGGAAGAGCAGTGTGTGCCAGCTGAAAATGGCTTAATGACACTTTTGCATTTCACTGGCCTGACAGTGATGAGGCTAAACTGGAGCTACTGATAAGCAGACACAAATCCTCTGCAGTGGTTTGTACTCACAAATGCTCGTGGTCCACAGTTGCCAAAAGAAACCCAATCACTTAACATATTGAACTGGTAACTGGTAACTGGGGTTGTTCAGCTGGGATAAAGCTTGATGACAAGGTTAAAGACTCATTTAAAGAGCCTTCACACTGCGTGATGGTTAGTGTACTGAGGTTTTCACATATCAAACATCACAGTTTGTGGTGTTTGAGCATCACTTCCAAATCACACAAACACATTGTATCTGCCAAGTCTGCAGTCAGACAAGAACAGAAGAGAAGAAGAGCATAATTGAGGCCACGATCTGAGCGAAACGCTGACAACACATACCCCTCACAGAAGCTTCACATGCACATAAACACACACCATTTTCCTGTTTTAATTCTGGCCACACAGCAGTTACCAATATTGCTCAGACATGAATGATTTCTTTTGAGAAAAAGCAGCCTCCTCTAATGAAAGTGCTTCTCTTTTTGCTGACAAAAGACAGAATTTGAGACCAGACGCACACTTTGACCACAGAGTTACAGTAGATCTAAATATAATGCTGCTTTACTGTTGTATAAGCAACTTGTTTTACACTTATGTTTGATGACTTAGAATTTTAGTCATGTGTTCATTACAGACGAATGAAATCATAAGGCAACTAAAAACCTTTCAAATTGTACAGTATGTATGTACAGCACTCTAGCTGAAATATTGATGGCTTTGAAGAGCAGTATTAGCTTTACTTGAAAGATGTATCACTGAAATACGTTGTAGAGTTTACTTATGATTAAGCTTTTAATAACTGGAAGTAAAACGGGGCAGACACAGTAACGTGTAATGCAATCCAAAACTTTATGACACCCTGAAATAAATCCCAGCTTTGTGAAGCCTTTATAGTTTAGAGTCTGTTGACAATGTGTCAGAGAGGCATTCATTAAATTCTATGGCCGTTTCTGTAATGTGTATAATATTGGGAAATGTTTCTAATGGTTGAAATATGTCATATTGTCAACTAAACTTTATATAATAGGCTTCAAAATGCTACAATATATTGCAGAGATGTTGTATTAGATTGCATCATATAGTGTATATTATACAGGTGTTTTCGTGATTGTGTCTTGGTCTTAGTCAGTGAAAACTTAATTTCTTTACCCATTCAACTCAAATCTGGTATAGATTATCCTACCTAATTGAAGATGCTCCATTTGCTCACAGTTCATGTGGTGCACAAGTTCTGAATAATTGGAACCAGGAAGCATTATGGACATCCATTCGCTCAATCATTGAAAAACGAGCTCTGCCAGCTGTTACATGACAATGTTCTCAACTATAACCTCCTGTGAACTGTACCGAATTTGTTTCTTTTCATTTCTCAAAACTACCAATGTTAAGCATAACCTTCTAGCCAATAATAATACCATCCTCTTTTTGAGATGGACAACTTATACATCTGAGCGACACTCCCATGCAAGCAGTCATCCATAAATCTGCATGTGAACGCCATTCTCAATAAGCAATTTGAGAATTAGGGAGACCACCAAACTTGATCAACTCACTGGAGAAGAACTAAATACATATATGTCAACGATTGATGAGACAAAGTCAACAATTTAATGAATGGTTCAAGTGCAGGGCGTCTTTTGTATTTGTTTTGCTATGTTTAGATTGTCTTATTAGTGGCTCAGAGAACAGAGAAGGAGAGCCTGTTTTCTCCGATTCACTCACTCAGACCAAGCTGAGTGGACAGCAGCTGTCCAGTGAGATGGATTTCTCTTCACTACGAGGGCGGAGAATCTGCTGACAAAGACTCCTGCTCTCTTACCAGAGAGGAGGGTGATAGGGCAGCATGCAACACAAACATACCATATAAGCATCTGTACCGGATCAGCCATAACAATTTTTACAATATTCAGTTAGTCAAGACATCGTGGAGAACCACAGAAAAAGTCAGAATTCACTGTATACTGTAACTGTAGTTCCACCACTGAGTATTGTTTGTTGTTTTATTCCATCTTTCCCATTAAATCTTAGCCTACAGGATAGATTCACATCCTTTCAAGTCTATCTTCAAACAACCTTTCTTAGATTAAAACTTGTCCATAATGGCCCTAATAAAAGAGGATCCCTTCTTAAAGCATTTTCAATGTAAGTGATGAGGGATAAATAATCCACAGTCTTTGCTTTGTACAAAAATACAATACAAATTTTAGCTTAAGCTAATATGAGATATAAAACAATTTCCTGTCCGAGATGATTCCAAACTGTTTGGATAATGTGTCCTGTTGACATGCACTCCAAAAGCAAACATGGACCTACATTGAACACATGGCAACATACAGTGTAACTGGTTTACTGTTAGTTTGTGTGAACCAACAGTCTGTGCGTGTGTGTAAATAGCACCTTTTAATCTCGAGAAAAGATATCTTTCAAGTCATCTTCGGATTGATTTTATAGGGGCAACTGAAAAGGGAGGGACTGCATGTTGATAGATGTGACTTCATTTGCTGTTGCTACAGTCTCATCTTGCAGTATTTCACACACGACGCAAACCTAACCAGGCTTTAGCTGAGAAAGTCAAGTGACTCATCAGAATTTCGTAGAGTCAGCAGTCTTCAAGTCTAGGCGTAATATGTGCCGACATGTTTAATAATGAGAAATGAGCAAAGAATTTCTATATCAACATTCAGATTCCTAATTCCTGGATGTCTTTTCCGCAGTCGTACTGTGCAATTAGTGTTGTGTGTACTGTATGTGTGTCTGTGGACAGTCTAGTGATGAGAGTGTCATTGCAAAGTGCGTTACTGCCTGAATGTTTTCAGACGAAGACAGGAGGTGCAGATAGATGTGGCCATGGATCAATGCCACCTCCCACCCATTTCTCATTCAGCTTTGGCTGAATGAGAAAGATTACAGCAATCACTTGGGCACACAGCAGATAGGGGCTGACAAGAGTGTTTGTGAGCTTTCTGAACACAATTCAGTCAGGTGTGAAAGGCAAACAGAGCTGCGCCACAAAAACTAAACAAAGACAATAGATGTGTGAAAGAACGCATCAAATCAATGAATACTCCTTAAATGCGGGTTTGTTTAAAGCTGCTACAAGGAACCTTCATTTTGTGTTCAATTTTGGGGTTCCCTATGGACAAAGGTGGGATAATTTCCAAGCACTAGAGTCCTTTTAGAAAACCTATAATTTTACTGGAGCAGGATCCAACAGTCTGCTCTGCACAGTCCTGGTTCTGGTTCTCCTGTGCCTCCCTTCTCTCCAGCGGACCCAGCAACACGGCCTGGGTCTCCAGCAGTGCGGTGTTGGGTTTGGCTCCCAGCAGGGACCAGCGGAGCAGCAAAGCAAAGCTCTACGCCTGGCCGTGGGAGGAGATGCTGCTGCTGGGCGCTGAGTTCTTCTAATTCCAAAGTTTCTGGTTGCTATGTTTTTATTTCTATTTGCACATATATCTGTATTTCTATAGGAGGGATGGCCATCTCACACTGAATGGACTTTTGATAAAAGCATCTGCCAAACGAATCAAATTTAATGCAATGTATTTTGTTTAATGCTACAACAGAGATATTTTGTATATTTTGTTTGTATTTGTTAAGAGTATGCATTTTAAAACAAATCAATATTTGGCCACTTTGGAGTTAAAGACTGGGGTTGTCATGTTCTGTATCGAGCATTAAACTGTAAAATAAATAATCAATACAGCTTAACATGCCTACTTGGGTCACTGCACTGTTCTACAATCAGGTGTTGGGTAATTTGCCGTGAGTCACTCCTTGTGCAAATCAGAAAGTGGGTCCAAGTAGCAAGAATTTAAAAACTGGATGGCAACAGTCTGAAGAAAGCTGACAAATATTTCACAAGCAAACTCTACCTTCCAATTTAAAATCAGCTGCTGATGATACACATTTATTAAACCTTTTATAAATAACCCATCATGTCTGTACAGTGTGAGTCTGTATGAGTGGCACTAAATAAGAAGAAAAAGATCTGGCAGCCTTGTATTAAGATTGCTCATGCTGACTATGTAAAGACACAATAAATGTTAGGCTGATATTTATATTTCAAATCACTGATCAGTGAATTTGAAATTGAATTCTGACAGCATTAACCTACAGTAAAATTAGAATATAATATCTGCATTATTTTGTGGTAATTGTTGATAGCGATCTCTATTACTTTTTATTATCAAAACATTAAACATGAGGGTAAACATTACCTCAATATTAACAAGCATATTAACCTGTTATTATGCTGTCTTCATCAAAACAGAACCTCAGCTTAATATTACATGGTATTACTCTGTGATTGCATCAGCTCAAAGTTAGAGAGTAAGTTTTACTCTCTAACTTTAATAAGAGAATATTACCTGATAAAACCTTGTATTTTGAGCAGATTCTTAGCCTGTACTTACTGCCCCGTTATTACCCGAGAGATGTTTTTCCCATTATTGGTATTCAAATACATAAAATGAATCCATATTACCAAGATATTTTGAAATTACCAAAACATTACCCCATTAATACGACTATATGTTATTACCAAGAGCATTATGTCACTTGTTTGTTAAGATATAGATTTTGCAGCATATCAGCAGATGTATATGATGAACTGAATTCCTATAAAAAGTCTAGTTTCACTCTGTCTCTAACATATAATTTCATTGAAACCTGTGTTGTGTCATTTCGAGCCCTTGAATATTCAAAGTGCGTTGAAAGAGACAGCTCATTGTCTCAGATACCAGACGTTAGAAACAAAGACTTAATTTGTACTGTAATAACAGATACAGCATAAAAACAAATCGCAGAAAAAAACACCAGCTAAGGGCAAACAAAAGAAGACTCCCTCCTTGGTCACTGTGGCTTAACCTCAACAGTCACTGACAGTAAAAGTTGGAGACACTATGGAGATAATAAGGAAAATCAGTTCACAACCTGTGAAGAAAAGATTCAACTTAATTCATTCAACTCACCAGGTCTGTCTTGGGCATGTCCTGGTAGTCAGACGAGTAGTATGTTGCTGCTTTCCCAAAGCCAATGTCACCAGCGGCCTTTGGTGGCTGAGCATGTTGTCGATACGTAGCACTCTTTGGAGTCCAGCAGAAGAGGTTGATGGATTCACGAACACAGCGCTCAATGTCGATTTCTGTGCAGCAAAAAGAAGAGTAATGTGAAAATGTTACTTGCCAATGTTGATGCTAATGCCACCTATGAGCAAAGTCATAAACAATAGAGCAGCCTTAATATCGCCTTTTTTTAATGAAATGCCTTTATTACTCTACACCCAATTATTATGAAATCACTGAAAAACAACATATTTTTTATGTTTACCCAACTAAGCCAGTAAACATGGATCTTTAGGTGGAAATTAGCCGCCATGGGTGAAAACAGCAGCTTTTTACTTCACAGCAAGCGTCTACAGTCATGCTAGGAGCTCTGCAAGGCTGTACTTGTACAGTAGTGCTTTGACCTAAATGCTCACAACAACAATGCTAACATATTGATGTTTAGCTGTTATCATTTTTAATTATTCACCATTTTAGTTCAGTGTGTTAGCATGCTAACGTTTGCGAAGTAGCACGAAATACAAAGTACAACTGAAGCTGATAAGAGTGCTGATAAACTAATATATTAGACAGAAACATTTTGAGCTAAATGGTGGCACTAGAGGGAAGCTCAAGCAATTACAATTCACCCTGAGGGGAACACCTGTACCAGATCTAATAGCAACCTATTAAATAGTTACCAAGACATTTTGACTTAAAATCTAAATAAACTCAGAACAGAGAGTATTCTGCTGATCTCTGCATTTTCAATTACCACTGATAACATTTTACTTTCACTAATTATTTAACTGCTGTGAGTGAGAGAGTAAAATGAATGAATACAATTGTGATTCCCTCCCATAAAGCATACAATAATATGTAAATAGAGTGTGGGAGGTTCAGTTGCAGAAGAGAGCAGCTTGACCTTGGCATTTTGCTGCCATTAACAATCGTAAGTGCCGGTGGCTCTTTGAGATAATAACTGGTCATCGTCTAGCTGCTGTCCCTCATCTAAGCACTTGTTCTAAAATAGGTTTTCAGGGCAGAGCAAAATATTCTTCTTTTCCCCCTAATGCCTCTCCAGCAGTGTCCATCTTTCTCCTGCTTCGCACGTTGAGAATAGAGAGGATTAGGGAACAGGGACTCACTGGATTAGCCGAGGATTTGGGTAAATTAGGAATTCTTTCCTTCACACTCTTTCACACCGACATCCTCTCTTTCACCCTCCTTTTTCGTGGATAATAAGCAAGTCTGCCTAATGAGTGCTCCTTGGTATGACCTGCACCTGGCCCAGGCTCCAGCAAAATTATATGAAAGATGTGTCTTTCCCCCACTCTATGTCCCACAGCGACGTCAAGGTTAGGGTCTGTCAGCTCTCATGGGCTAGGACCTCACAGACTCGGTTACGAGGCTCATTCCAGTGAAAAACACACTGGTGGTCACCGACGGGCACATAGGCAGTTCAGGGAAACACATTTTCCCTCTCTAGGGTGACAAATGCTGCATGCAATCATTCCTCCAGCTAAAAGAGGCAGGAATGGGGAAGAGATTGATAGCGGTTTTAACAAGTCCTGGGCTCAGCTGGGCAATTCCCAGGCAGCCAATTTCATTAAAGAGCAATTTCTTTACATATTAGGAAGCAAAATTACATTTCAGTAATGATGTAGAGGTGTTGATTGTGGGCTGTTACTTGTTGCCACAAATAGTAGAATAGCATGATTAGTAAAGAGCAACTCAGGGGGGTTGTGGAATTGGATTGTGGTGCAAAGGAAGAAAGACCTGATAATAATGGAGATTAAAGGGTTTAGTAAATTAAAACACAAAGTGAAAATCTGTTGCATTATCCAACCAACCCTGCACAGTACAACAGACGAACCATGAAAATGACTTTGTACATTATCCACAAATTATAGAGCCAACCATCGGTAGTGACAATTCCCCTTCTCCCTTTTTGAATAGATCCTTATTTGTAAACCGCGATGACATTGATAACATAAGGTGGGAGAATGGAAATTGATTATCTATTGTCCAGAGGTTTGTTCATCCATCCATCTTTAATCTAGTTATACTGTATACCAATGATTACTTTGGAGAACCCGTGAGGGAACGATTCATGTTGTTGATTACGTTTCAAAATTCCACTTGTAGACATGAGAGGGTTTTCCAATTGTTGGTTGTTTGCTTTGATGGATGATGTGCATTGGATTTGCATGTCTTTAAGGGGTGCATGTACCAATCTTGGAATGCATCCCTGAAGTAGTACTAGCAGTCTCATTTCAGTGATCAATCAAAGTGGTTCTCATTAATCCAACACATTTACCCAGGAAACTAAGTCAAGTAACCTAAAACTGAAACTTAAGAAAATGCTTTGGGAAGTCACAACTGTGGTTGCTTTTGCTGAATTTGAATTACAACATCAAAACAAACTGCTATGCATATCCTGATCCTTGATATTGTGGCGAGAGCGAGAGGGGGCGAATGGCAGTGCCAAAGAATTGTTAAAAACAAATAATTACTATTGTTTTCAAGGCATGTTCACCAATCAAAGGATTTTGTATACTAAATAAAAAAGCAGCCTGTCAGTCTTCTGAATGTGTTGATTGCACACCGGAGCCCCTCAGAAAAACTACCTGATGACATTATTAATTCAATGCTACAGTTCTGAATGTCATAAAACACTCAGTGTCAGTCATTTTCAAGTCAGAACTTCTCTTTGCCAACAGTGAAAAATAAGCAGCTCAGAAATAACTCTTCTGAGGTCTGAGTATTTGTAGACATAGTTCAACCTTTAGCTCAAATGCTGGAGGGAAGCTGAGCTAATTACTACATTCAGCCCCAGGTAAATATTGTCAGGACATTATGGATAGGATACCCAGGTCCTATACTGGCTGCCTGCAATAGTATTATTTGATGTGTACTCCAATGGTAAAATGCCCCAGAGTACACCATCAGTCAAATCACAAAATGCAAATGAAAATATGTCATGCCAAATCTGTCATCCACTTCCAACACTAAACCTTCAGCATCAATATTCTACTTCTCCTTTTGGTGATGTTTTCAAGGTGTCCCTGTGTGCCGTGTTGCCTCGAGCACTTTCAGCAGCTCGTGGTTGTTTTTCTCAGAGCTAAACGTCTATAACTAGAGCTCATCAGTTCTGTGCCCAGCTCTGCTCATTGAGACAGATGCTAATGTCCCGTGAAGGCAAATGCCGCTGCATCATCAGTAAACACACGGCTCCTGTCAGCCGGAGAGCCTTTCTGGTCTATTGTGAATCAATGAAGTCTCCAAACAAGAGAAAGTTATAGATTACCCAAGGCTACAAGACTTAGCAAATGGGGGAATCACAATATGAGATTAATTGCAAACAAATGGCAGCTGAGATGAATTGCTGGCTCCAAGGCGAAATGTTGCAGCACAGGTCTTACCTGTTTCACTTTTAATTTGATTTCAGACTCTGATATGCTGAGTGTGAAATCATTCATAAAACGTATTAACAAAAATAATTCAGCAATATTTGAGTCTTTGTATATGGTCCAGAAAGCGAAAATGACTTGAGTAACACATTAGTGAAGAGGAAGTTGTGTGAAGGATGATGAGTGAAATACCAGTGAAAGTATTGACAGCTTGGGAAACCAGTGGTGGGAGCACGACCTTATAGTCTGCATCACTTACCTTAAATTTGGATTCCTTCTCTTCGTTGGAATATTGGCAAGTATAGACTTCCTAGTGTTATGTGTAATAGGCTTGTCACTGAGAATGATTGTCACTGGCCCTATTTACTGCCTAGCAGGAGGGAGAGAGAAGAGTGTGTCTGAATCATTTAAGAGCCACTGTCCTGTAACGTTATCTTGACCGTTAACTTTTATTCCGACAGTTGCCGACGGCAATAGAAAGAGAGACTTGTTTTTATTTCGCAACTAAATGTCAAGCCTTCTTATGCATCTTGTAAAGTTCATCCACTTCACTGAACCTTAGATTAAGTCAAAATGTATATGCATGTTCCTGTACCTTTTTACCACTGATACCACCTGTCATTACCACTAAATACAGGCTCCCATCATGTACAGGCTGAAATTAACAGAAATGTCCATGATGGTGTGTACCAAACCAGTTTTAAATTAAATCTTTAATTCTTTCTCTTTAAAAACAGCTGTATCCTATTTGATTTCTCACTGTAAGATTGACTCACTAGATTTAGTCAATTGTCCTTCTTGTATACTGTTCAGCCAGCATCAGGGCATGTTTTTCTGGCTTCACACTCTGTTTCTGTTGTTACACACATGTGAAGCATGTGGACTCTGCTCTGAAACAAATTCATGCAAGTCTCAGTTGTATGAGGACATCAATTCTGCACGCCTGATGTCAGGAAGGAGCAGGTGCGGACCACAAATCACCAGATATCTACAATAACTCAGTGTGTGTGTGTGTGTGTGTGTGTGTGTGTGTGTGTGTGGCTTTGTGTACTCATAGCTGCATGAATGTGGTAGCGCAGAGCAAATACAGACTGACCTCCAAAACCACCAAAGACTGCCAAGGTCTATTATTGTAACTCAATTATCTAACACTGCCAAACCTACTATATGTTTACTTTCATGTACTATGCATTGAATCACATGCACTACAATTGGTATGCTCAATCAAAAATAGTTAGCCTGTTAAGATGGGTGGGTTAGGAACAAGCCAACAGATACACTAGCAGCTCTGTGAAGCGGCACATTGCCGTGGAAGTATGAGTAACATGGTCACCATCTTAGTTAAGCATGTTCCCGTGCTAACATTTCTTATATAGCCCGAAAAATAAAGTGCAGCTGATGTGGCTGAGAACGTCACTAGTTTTTGCAGGAATTCCATCATAAGCTGAACTAAATTTTGAGCTGATGGTTACAGTAGTAGAAAGGTCAGGGGATTGCCGACGTCAGTAGGCTTCATCCTTTGGGAACCATGAATGCGTGTGTGGAATTTCATGGCAATCCATCAACTAGCTGTTGAAAAAATGAGTCTGGACCAGGGTGGTGGAACAGCCGACAGACAGACAGTAACATTGCCATCACTAAAGCCATTCTGCTAAAAAATAAACCCTGCACAGTCAAGGATTATAAACCCACAGTAGTAAGACTTCTACTCTCATTTAGTAGGGGTGATAAATATTGTGCTGAACTGTTTTGTACTTGGATATAGCAGTCTGTAACAAGTTATATAATACCATCTTGTGTACTAGAACATGGCTAGAAACTTAAACAGATTGAGGTCAGTCTGTAGCCCAGAATTCATTCCTAATATAGTTTGCCAGATACTACACTGTAACTACCCAGGTATACACAAGCTGCGATAATAAGGCTGGAAGTGATATACAGAAACGAGCTGGCAGCGGTAGCCACTCTCAGGAAATCTTGCCAAAGAAGCCGACTGCAGCTCTAGGCCAACATATTTTACCTTTATAAGGAGAACTGGCTCTCCTTTTCCCTTCTGCCTCAATCACATGAATCTGTTGGACAGTAAAACACAGTGAAGTACGGCAACACTGAATTTAGGCTGAAGGGGAGGCTGTTGGCCTTAGTTTATAGAGTGCTCCAGCAAGCCTTTAGGACAAATCGTCCCCGCCTCTGTTGGTTTTAAAACCCCGATGTCATTCTGCCTTTCAGCCAGAAAAAATAGGGGCTCAGCAGCAGTGGGAAATAAAGTTTTAAAGGAAATTGTTTGAGCTATCCCCCAGGCGAGAGGTACATACATTATGAATGCCGCTCTCTGATTTTATGTAACCGATACTTTGCTGAAGTAAGGTCTTTGTGAAACTGAAAAGGAGCCGTAAAGAGGGCATGTATTAAGAGACACTACTGTCTCCACAGTGTGTGTTCAGTCTGTGAGGCAGATTATAGTCGACAAAAGCATCGAAGTCCCCAGGGCAATGTGTCACCTTAAAAGCCATGTTAAAAGCCCCTCGGACTGGGGGGTCATTCTGTTAGAAGTACTTAACAAATGCATGACAACAACAGAGCAAAGCTAATAAGATGCATTTCCATTAAGCTTGTATTATCAGAATCAACCCACTGAATACCTCATTGATTTGTCGACCCTCCTAAGAAAGGAGGCAGGAATACTCCTCTTGCCTGCCACGCACTGAAACCAACTGGATTAACAACCATAAAGCGGAGTTATTTATGTATTTTTTTACATTTTATTATGTGTTAAGTGCAATGTTTAATACATGTCTCTGTATGATAGTATTGGCAAAGCAGATAGTTGCTTCAGGCAGCCTGCTGGCCTCACATCCCCATGCTAACGCTGGGCTTTATTTATGCGAGTCTTATCTACGTCTCTTGCAGGAGTAATCCTGCATTTGTGGTCCAGAGCTGAAAAGGTGCCACTTACCCTCCCTGGTTAGATGCTCCACAACTGATATAGCACCGCAAAAACCAAACAGCAACAATTTATATTAGTGGCTAAGCAGTCTACACAGACTAACGATGGATTTAAATCAAGATTAAAAGTGATGCTGGAGAACTCTACTGTGGAGGTTGTGATTATTGTGGCAGACAATTCCCAGAGTGCAGCGGTTGACTGTTCGACAGATGCAGAGCAGAGCGTGGCACGCCTAGAGCACATCAAGGAAGGAGTGTGTTTGTTGGAGAGCAGAGCTGCCTGCTTTGAGGATGACATTAACTCAAGACACATCAGCACACATTGGTTCTCTGTTGAATAAAACAAAACGCCTCCTGCAGTTGCCCACAAAGATGGACAACCGTTTAGAAAGGTTTGGGGATGGCAGAGTGTGATTTTCACTTGCTCATATATAACTGCAGAGGTATAACTGCTTAACGCATGGAGAAAGTAAATAAAGATGCCGTTAGGTTGTTGTTTATTAAGTAATATTTGGCAGATAGCCCAAGTATGTAATAAACTTGACAAGAGGGACAAAAGGAAGACATAGTATTTACAAAGATGTATATGCCAGCTTATATTCTCACCTGGCAGGTCAGAGAAGAGTAGGATGCACTCATTGAAGCCATTGGCCAAGAGACGGTCCCTGAGCTGCTGCAATATGGCCACGCCGATACAGAAGGGGAAAGAGGAGTTACCCAGCAGCAGCGTGTCCCACAGGTGGAAGATCTTGTGCAGTGGAAACACATCTGAAAAGAGCGCACAGAAATAAACACAACAAAGGGGAGATTTTACAAAATGACTGAATACCAGAGTGCCTGAAAAGACAAATCCCACGAGGGATGCAGAATAGGCTGCTGCAAGCAGGATATAATAGAATGCAACACACACATAGAGAGAAAGGGGGAATCAGTTTGTACATAATGAGCGTGATTTGCATGTGCATAGTGCATTTACTTAAGATGGCTCTATGGCTTTAAAATGGGAAGCTCACTAAGCAATATTGTACGATGGCAAGGTTGCCTGCAGGGATATTTGATGTGGGGGAGGCAGCTGGGAAAAATGGTTTTAGGTGGGTGTTGTGGTGGAAAAATGACAGGAAGAACATCAGGGGGCTGAGGAGCTTTAGAGCAAGGAACCTGCACTGGTTATTTCAAGCCAACTAAAACCCCATCCTGATAATGTGTCCCACTGCAGTTATTAGTTCAGTGATATTACTTTCAGTTTTTCAAAAATATAATGTTTCCTCTCTGTTGAGATTTATGCATGAGAACCAGAACTGTCCACCTGTTTCTATCATCCCGCGGTTTGTTAAGGTGGATGCTGGGAAGTAGGTGTGTGTGTGTGTGTGTGTGTGTGTGTGTGTGTGTGTGGAATGTGGCTTTGGTGAGGCCGAGAGTGTAGGAGTGGTGAGAAAATGCCTCGGAGGGTCTGCATCACATTAGCAGTCAGCTGAGCAGACTAGGATGTGACTGACAGGCAGTGTGTGTGTGTGTCTCTGTGAATTGAGGATGACCCTCCAACCTTGTCTCATATTGGATTGAGGACATTAGCAGTCAGAGGGGCACACCTCCTGAATACTGGACTCACACACTGCCTCAGGGGGGAGGAAAAGGGGTAGGGGTTAAAAGGGTCACACCTCACACTCTCTGCCCCAGGAGTGGTCTGTATGTATGCGTGTTTGTGTGTGTGTGTTTGACTGAAGAATCAAATACCTCATTGCAAAGGGCTGAAGAAGATCAATTTGGCTACAATTAATGTAAATCATAGGTTGTGTTCTGTCTATAGGAGTCTGCAGACTAGCTCAAATGCAGCTATCTAAAATAATATTGAGAAGGCAAAAAGTTATTCAAACAGTTGTACCGTATGATGTGTCTCTATCTAGAAGACAGAAGTTAATTGCACATTATTTAATTCGTAACAATGATCAGTGACCCTCGCTAATATGCTCATATTTCAGTGCTCAAAATGTGCCCTGCTGAAGATAAAAGCTTAATGCTGCCATCAACTGACTAATGGCATGCTAGGAACCAGCAGAACAATAATACAAAAATCATTACGGTATAATGTACCTCTGCTGCAGCTCAGAAGGTGAAAGGACTCTTAGTGTGCATTATGCTTATTGGAATCAACAGGTTTCCAAAATTATGCAAGGAAACCAACAATTATTGCTGGAATCTGTAATATTTTCTCATCTTCAGCAAATTCGATTTGAAACATCATCGGCATCTAAAAATGATGACAGAACTGCGGGCACTGAAATCATTTGGCTACCTGATTGTAATGCGCGACCCCTAAACTGGTACTAAATTGATGAAACTATTTCTTATTTATTCCCTGTACGTAAATACTGGTTAGTGACGAAACATTATAAACACCATGCGAACTATTACAGTCCAAGTTAACATCACAATCTACGCTGTCCCTATTGAATCTACACTCTTAAAATACAAGCTTGTAAAACTCAACCGAAGCTGAACATTATAAGATTCACATAGGTTGCTTATTTTGTACAAGCCCAGTGTTGCATGTATGGACATATCTTCTCATAGTTGATAGTTGATCTGCCAAAAGTTCCTTATGAGCTTTTTGCTATTTTTTTGTAAAAGTGTTAAAAATCTTGAGGTAAAACTAGCAGCAGTAGTGTTTATCTTGACCCTTACATCCACATTTGCTCTTGAAGTTATATTAAAGAGGGAGGACATTCATTAGTATGTGGTACAGAAAATCCAATTTAGGGCATTCAAGATCGTAAAAAAAAAATCATATATATATTTAAGAAATATGGGCATAACAAGGTATAAAAATACATCACGCCCTCCTAAAGGTTCTCCTGAGGAAGGAAAGTTCGCAGATGAGTTTTGAGTGTATTTTTATAATGTTTTAAATCAATATTTATTAAAGGCTTATTATTTTTACCATCCCGGAGTAGAGCGCCTGGAATTGATTTTGTCTGCCACATCCTACCCATGGACCTCGACATAATGTTGTTTTTCTCCGTCTTAATGTTACCTCAAAAATCTTCTTGCGAACTGAAGGTTAGAATACATTATCTGCGTGTTTTCACCTGACTGTAAAATCACGATAATGTGATCAATATCCTTGAAATAGCTGTACGATAACAACCACACCAACACTCACAATGGCTTATACAGTATACTGTATTCCCTACAATATCTAAAGGCACATTTGGTTTTTATTTTTCTAACTTGGAGCGTTAATGGTCTTGCAAGTCAGTACTTAGACACATTAAATCGTGCAGACTGGCCCACAGGAAGCGTCACAATAATCCTGTGAAGTCTACAGCTCAGTCCTACCACTCTGCTTAGTCAGAGTCACAGAGACGTGACACTTAGTCAGATTTGGTTCCTGCATACAAAAGACCTTTGCCTTTTAAAAACTACAGTATAGTGTACCATCCAATTCTGCCTGGCCTATTGGGGAAATTCTTTTAAAACAGTGATACGCACCACCAGCATGTCAAAAACAACCTGACACATTACATTACAAGAAAAGACCATTAGAGGAATAATTCAAATAATTTTCATAATCCAAAAGTACAACACGATAAAATACATGCCCTGCATTTAACAGTGTACAGTATATAAGTATCGGCAATAAGAATGGCCCAAGTCAGCGTGTAATTATAAATTATTGTATTATTGGATACATACATTATTACTGATACATTAACATAAGAAATACCTAAATGTTGAGTTGGTTGAGGAGCATTTTATCTGCTTTATATACAGTACTTCTGTGTAGTTTACTCAATAGCAATGCATCATATGTTTTGAAAAGTCTGGAAAAGATGGAAAATGTAGTGTGAAGTAGCAGAAGATGGGAATAAATTAGTAAAACAAAAAGTACCAAAAACAATGACAGTACTTGATTTAATGTATTCAGTTACTTTTCACCACTGTTTTTTAAGCCTCTTAGCTGCAAAATCAGTTCAGTCCATCAACTGAAAGTGTTTTTTATGTCATGTATCCTGTTATAGATCATCAATGATAACTGAGCAAACTCTATCCACTGATGTAGACTGCAAGATGCAGCTGAAAGCCTCGAAAAAATATTAAATGAGGATAAATGAAAAATGTGCAAATCTGAGGTAGTGTGGGGCTGAGTGGTTGAGTCCTTTCCTTTCAGATTTGGAATTAATTAGCAGCTACAATAAAGGTCATGGAGAGAAAAAAAACACAAAGATCTACAGATCTGGCCCATACTGGACCCACTAACCTTTTCAGTCTCTTTTATTCATACTCTAAATGAAGCAGACTCAAATTACCCTCTGAAAGTTTTTGATTATGCTCAGTGTGACATCATATCCACATTGTGAGTACAAGGAAAAGCTACTTACGTGTAAACATGGTCAGGAACCATGGAATAGCATAAAGCTGTGCGGTAAGAAAAAGAGATAAGAATACAGTAAGCACATTTATGAGATCATGAAGCATTCATTTGTATGCAATATTCAGTACATCAAATAAAATAGCTGAGAGCTCACATGAAATAAGTGAACTGCTTTCTCACTATAGACTCTAAGACATATGCAGCACACATCTCTACGCCTTCTGAGAAACAGAAACGGCCATAAAGAGCAAACTGCTGAGTTTGGTTATTGGTCAATGGGGAGAAAGCAAACAATGAATCTCATTATACAAATCATCTTGTCATCCATCTTCCTTTCTCTCCATTCTACACGTTCCCTGGAGGAAATGCATAAAATAAAAATGAAAGACCGCACACACAAACTCCACCATTAACCACCTGTTATAACACCTGCCAATCGCTGGCCACTATTGCTGAGGCTCTGTAATATTCAGTAGCAACGGGTCTGGAGCAGAATGTGCAGGAATACTGGAGCTCATGTCAGTAAGTTAATCGATAGCTAATTGCGTGGGAGCTGGTGACTGTTCAGTAGACCTCTTCTGAGCCCACCGCACTGAGTCTCAATTCAACCGCGCACTAGCAGAACTGCGAGTCCAGCCAGATTGGATTAGTGTAGGTGTAAATGGCAGACCCAGGGGAGCAGATGTGGCCAAATTGAGAATGGCCGGAATCAAACCGCTGGCCACATGCAATCTGACTCTCTGCCGATGGCGTCAGGCATTACTGGAACCGAGTCCTTGAACACCACAACATTTCCAAAGATTACTTGTGGTTTCTGTGTGCTTGCACAAGACAAACTGTATTAATCTAGCCATGTTTTAGTTTGCATAAATTGGAAGCAAATCCATTTTATACTGCAGGGACATTTGGTCTTTTAGGGCCAATGGATTTGTTTCCTCAGTAAAACAACAGTTTAGAGAGTTCTCTGAAGTTCACAGAGGAAAAGGGGATTTATGGTCTGTAAAGTCTAATTACTGGGATTGACATCAGACATGAAAGCTGTATCAACAAAGCTTGTTCCAATATCATCCTGGCCTACCAACAAAAACAAGGATATCAAGTCTCCTTTGAAAGGCAAGTCAATACTGGTAGCTCTGTACATGCGGTACATGTCAAGTCAGCATCATAACAGCATCAACAACTACAGGTAACATTTGTGCAACAAGCCAAAGTATCTTTCCTAATTTCATGTTTTTCTACACACTTTAAATTACGGCAGACAGTCAACAGTTCACTTGCACCACTTTGGAAAAAGAGCTGGAGCATTAGAAACTGCAAGGAGGAGGAAGAGAGCGCTTTGATCCTTGACTCCTCGATGATAAAGACCCCACTTTTCATCGGGTAATGTCCCAGAGTTCGGTCCACAGGTGACACACATTCATCAGCACACTAACTGAAACCCCAGAGAGACTGTAGAACACTTTAACCTTGTCACTGTCTGTGCAGAGCTGAAGTGAAGGGCAGGAAGAGGTGGCATATAGTAAGAGAAGTATGGTAAGCATGGCAGAGGACAATCATTAAGTGTGCATGTCAGACATTAATCGCTGTATAAATCACCAGTGGACTACATGGAGAACCTGACCCTCGCCACAAATACTGGAAAGGAGGATGTGGAACAAAAAGTGTTAACGACAATGAAAAGATATACACTGTGATCTATGGATGGTCATTTCCTTTGGCCCTCATGCAGAGAAAACAACTGGAATAACTCCTTACTGTTTTTGACTTGCAATAAAAGACAATGTTGTTATCCTTGCATGCCCTCCACTGCTGCTTATTGTTGTCAAGGTGTCAGGGCACTTGCGCTCTTGGAAACTTACGTCTGGGATAAAGCCAATCTCATTTAGATGGTTGCTGAGCTCTGGGTCATGGAAGGCAATCATTTGGGAGAAGACGGTCAAGTACTCTGAAACACAGGCAAAAGGGCACGAGGTCTATATATAATGTATTGTGTAGCTTGAGTGCTAAAAACATGAAAGGAAGTGTACTCGACCGAAGACTTTACAGCAGGAGTAAGCAACCTTAGACACGCTCCCATTGGCAAACTGTAACTGAACCAATGGCACACTAGCAGTAAGCGTTTACAGTTAACAGTAAGAACACAAGATGTATGACACAAACATACACAAACACAAACCGACCTAATACATGATTGGATTTAGTAAATCAGTCATGAAGCAAAGAGATCTCATAGTTCAGATACTTTCCAAAACTATTTGTTGCCTTATAACAAAGAGACAGGAAGACAAAATGTTGCAGGTAGACTGCTGATCAACTGTGCACATGTCAAATGGAAACATTGTAATGCTGTACTAGCACCATTCTTCATGCTGTAAATGAACAAAGATCCTCCAACCAGACAGATAAACATTAGCTAGCTCTCCAGGGCATCTAGCAGTGGAAAGAACGGATAAGAGCCACATTCCCCACAGAGTTCAAGAGGTGTATTGTGTAGCCCTTGTCACATAAGAATTGCTTGTAACATTTCTCTGCAGGCTTTTGCAGTTTCATTTGTTTCCCTATCTCTAAATGATGTGACTCAGCTGCAAACTCCATTAAGACAAACTGAAATTAGTTTTTACAACTTAGGAACAACATGGAGCCAAAATGTAATCAACATTGAGCTGAGGGCCCGATGCTCGGTGCCAGCCGCTGATAATTTGTTTTTGAACTTAGCTGAATGCGCTGACCATGTTTAATATTGAACTCGCAGTGGCAGTTGACTACATTAGCTCAAAAACACTGGATGGCTTAAGTGGAGACAAGTAATCTTGAGCTAGTGTGTAATTTATGTCAAGAGAAACACAAAAGATCAGCTTTAAAATCACTAGACTGTATTGCTGTGCAAAACACAGCAGAATGAGTGTGTAGTCTAGTACATCTCACCTTGAATGACATGAGAGTTGTCCTTCAGGAAAAAGTTGTACAAGTACTTGGGGATGAAGGCAGACATGCAGGCATATGCCAGGGCTGTAAAAAGGACAAGATAAATATGAAAAGAAGCAAAAAAACTAAAAAAGAAAAGTAGAAATAAAAACCTTCATTATTCATTACCTTCATTATTAAAGTTTAAGTAGAGAAATGGGGCACACAGTGAATCCAAACCTGAAAT